CGCCTCTGTCTCCTGGGACACAGCATAAACTCTGGCCACAATAGGCATCTCCATGTCCTGGATGAATGGACAGAATAAGCAGCAAGAAAGTGCAAGTGTCCACAGATTCCATCCCTTTCCAAACTCCAAACAGAAGCTTCACATTGCCAGCATGGTGCTCTCTCTTCTTACAGGAGGGTCTTCCTCTGTAGACTTTATTTTATTTATTTATGTAGTTTTTTTGCCTTGTCACATCATGACAGGAACATATGAATGGAAAATTTATTTGAACACTTACTTGTTTTAAGGAGCATACTTTAAAAGCTAAACTTTTTTTTTCATTTATACATATGTGCATACCATGTTTGGGCCCTTTCTCCCCCCAACGTCCTCTGTAGACTTTAAACTCATGTGAGTCAGTCAAAGGCTAAGACAACCTGCACAGGCAAAACTGGGTGGAGCTGTGGTAGTAAAAGCTGGGAAGAGAGAGATGGAAAGAAAGAGGGAGAAGTGAGTGAGGAGAGAGAAGACAGAGGTGAAGAGAAATAGAAGATGGATGGATGGATTAGATGGATGAGTAGGTAGGGAGAGAGAGGAAGGGAGAGATGGATGGAGAGAAAAAGAGAGATATGGATGGGTAAGGAGAGAGAGGAAGAGAGAGGGATGGATGGGGAGAGAGAGGGGGAGAGAGATGGGTAGAGAGATAAAGAGATAGCTAGAGAGGATTTGGGTGGAAAGGGTAAACAAGTGAGGAGTCATCCATGTGGAGTGTGACAAACGCGTAGGAAAGAAAAGAAGAGAAGAGAGGCAAGGATGAGAGTTAAGATTTGTTCCCCTTTCGTGTCTTTTGAGAATTGAGTGTAAAGAATGAATTTCCTTTTCTGTTGTTTTGTTTGTCTGCTGAACTGGTTTCTAAAGCAGCCTTCTCAGAGCCTGGGCCACGTGGTCACAGCTGCCCTGGGTTTCAGGTCAGTTACCTTCCGAACCAACACATTGGCAGTTAGCTGGAGGAAGCATTTCTTTTCCTCTGCGATGGGTGTTTATATTTATCCAAATGTTTTCCCATTTTACGGTCTCATGATTTTACATCTTGTGGTGTCCGTATTATTGTCAGTTACTTCAAATTGCTTTGGGAGAATAAGTAGTATGCCAATAAATAAAAGTAAAATCTGTATTTTTCTTACTTGTGATACTGATATAGTTAATTCCTGAAAATGGCTCTATACTCCACCATTACCACAATTATTTTTCTGGACTAAAACATGAGCAGCTAGTCCATGATAGGCCCATCCCACCCCTTTAAACGGATGTAGCCAGCATGCATCAGTGCATGCTGGGAATTTGTGAAAGCCCCACCACAAGGTTGACCGAAGCCTTGTGATATAATGTATGTGAAAATGAAATTCTAGCCAATGTGCAAGTCTTCTTGTTCACCAGAGGACTCAGAAAAGAAAGTCTCTAATTATGGCAGTCACGAAAAGAGCAGTTTTCAGAGCTCATACATTCACAGTCCAGATCAAATCCACTCAGAAAAGGGAGCCTCATGTACTGTACTGTAAGCACGTGGGAGTTTTTATTGACGCTCCCATGGCAAGAGTCACACATGAGTCAAGAAGACGAGAGTGGGGGAGATATTTTAAGCGCAAACCTCCCACACTCTAGGAAGCCAGGCCAGACACACTTGACACAGGGACAGTCACAAATGCCTTCAGAGCTGGGCACCATAAATGACTGGAGTAAGCCAGTTTAGGATCTCTCAAACCAAGTGTTCATGTGGACCCAATATCGCTGGATCTTTCCATTTCAAGAAAAGCAGGACATTCAGGCCTTCATATGATTTCTTCCAGTTGTGAAATTTTTGTGGCTAATCTTAAAACTTGTAAGCACTATTCCTAGAGAAAGGACCATGGGTCTCTGATCTGCACTTCTGAGCTCAGAGACTGTTTCAGAGGATGCTCATTCCTTAATTGGCAGGCAATTGACCACACCAGCCAGAAACTCTCTTAACTATGTGCAGAGAAACCTCTGGGAAAGCTTCAGCCTCCCCTCTCTCCAGAGCGCCCACACAGTGGGACATCCTCCATCCTCTTCCCCAGTTCCGCCACTTATCTTGATGCTCACTCCTCAACCTGTCTGCCACCACCTCCATCCTGCCACCTGCCATTTTGACACCACTTCCCCTTCTTGATCTCAGCAGTTGCTACAGTGCCACTGTGTGTGCTGAGGCCCCACACCAGGACCTAAGATCCTCCTGCTTCCCCACTCACCCCTGGAAGCCTCCAGCCTCTTACCAGGGGGACCCAGTAGACAAAAGATGGGAGAACCTGTGCTCTCAGAGTAGAGCCATTGTCTATTACAGTAACCAATGTGACACTTTCCCACGGATCATTTCGTTTTATTGGCAAAGCCTTCATCTGAGCAGAGAAGCCCGTGGGCCATTTTGCCACTATGGGAACTGGAGGGTGATGCAGCAGGAGGACAACGCAAATGGCCAGGTCATCACAGCCACCAAGACAACAGTGTCTAGAGAACAGGGTCTGCTTTTTGGGAAGCTCCCTGGGCAAGGCTTCCAGGAGGCATCCTTGGTACGACGGACAGCTGTGTTGTTAGAGGAACGGAAGCTCTGGCCAGTCAATTCCTATAGGGAGGATGGATGCTTTAAAAACATGGCCTCTTCCATCATCATTCATGTCCTCTCTCTCTCTCTCCTTCCCCAGGGTCTTGCTATGTAGTCCAGGCTGGCCTAGAACTCACAAACCTCCTGCCCCAGCCTCCTGAGTACTGGGATTACAAGTGTGCTCCACCATACCCCACCTCTTCCACCATCTCCATCAGTGTGAGTCGTGAGGATTCTTGGATGGATTTGCTCCCACATTTCTCTGTTCTTAAGCCAGTTAAATTACTCCCAGGTCTGACATTCAGGGCTCTCTGCCCCAAAACAATAAGATCCAACTGAGTGGAGAAGCATTCAAAGTCATTCAGAGGCTGCTTCAATCTCTTATTCTAGCTTCAATCCACTCCCACACCTCCTGTCCCATATACCTCATAGCTGTGCTTCTGCTCCAGCTACGTTGACAAGTCTATAATTCCAGCTGTGCCTTTTGCTAATGCTGTTTCCTTGACCCCAAACCTCTCCCTACTATCTGTCTTAGAAGCTCCTAGTCATCCCACAAGGCCCCTCGTTCAAATGTCTACTCTGATACAGTCTTCTCATTTTCCTGACTTTCTTTTCTTCCTCTGAGATTTTGCAGAATGTGGGCCACCCCTTATCATCTTACATATATTTATTCTAAGTATGCCACTTTTCTGTATGCCTTGCCTGACTGTGAGCACCTTAGGGTCTTCACTCTGTATTTCAAGATGCCCTTGGCTCATGGTGGCACCCAAAAAGTGTTTTCTGGATGAATGAGAAAGTAACCTGATGGTGCAATAGATATTTATTGAAAATGTTGATCACATGCTAGGTGCTTTATCAACATTATTTTTAATTGTCTCCATACCAACCTTGAAAGTTAGATATTATGATTACAGAGCACAGAAAGATTAAGTAACTTGCCCAAGGACACACAGCACATAGGTGCCAAGCAGAAACGGCAGCCAGGTCTGTCTGAGTCTTCGGTTGGCAGGGCTGCCCTTTACTCCCCACCCAGCACAGCCCTTCCTCCAATTCCCCTTCCATATTCTGGGAGCGTCCAAGGGCCCTCTGCCCAGTCCCCATAGTGCCTTGCACCGACCAAGTCCTGGATAAGAACACAGAGTCTGAGGAACCACTTCTCAGGGATCTGGCCTTGGGCTTGTGAGTCAAAGCATCCTTTCCGCAGGGGAAGCAGCACAAGGCTCTTCCTCAGAGACACCTTAGGTTTGAAGCCTATGGAGGGAGGACAGGCAAATAGAAAGGAAGCACTTTCACTACAAGCCGTGACATTTACGAGGTCCACAGAGCACTTTATAGATGGGTTTAACAAGAAGGTACAGCATGAGAAGGAAAGAGGGGGTCCTCCCACCTTGCCAGGAGGCTTAGCCCCACCCTGGCTCTGCCTGGCTGCAGAGGGGCCCCTGGGGGCTGCAGAAGGTCTCGTCCCAGGGAAAGCGTCCATGGTGGTGGCTGGCACCATGGCTCCGACGGCACAGCAGCAACCGTGGGATTACACATCTGTAATCGGAGCCCTACACATCTGTAATCAGAGCCCTATCCAAACATAACTAAAAAGCAGGAAAGGGTGTGGCTCAAGTGTTACAGTGCTTGCCTAGCAAGCATGAGGTCCTGAGTTGAACCCCAGTACCACCAAAAACAATAATTCTAAGGACTAACCCATACCTTTTGTTTTAATTTCAGAAATATAAATTTGTTCACTTATACAAAGTAAGAAAAAGTAAGCTGTATGTCATTTTCCACTGACAAATTTCCTTTACTGAAATGTCGAAATTGTCCAATGGTGGAGCAGTGGATGAAGGTTAGGACTGAGAGGAAGTCCTGTGTTCTCTCTTAATTTTCATTGTCTCCAGTCCAGCCTGGCCATGGTGCCAGGAGCCTGCCCCATTCTTTCTTGTGTTGTTAGTGAGAACTAACAAGAGGCCTGTGGTGCCTAATCTCAGTGATGAAAAGTGGACCATGTCACAATGGGTGGAAGTTGCTGGGGAATGAAGGAGAAACTCCTATCCTTCCTTTTTTCTGAATAATTCAAACAAACTGCATCTGTGTTTTATTCAAATGAATAGTCAAGATATGGAAGTGGTTGCCAGAGGCAGGAGAATCACAGGTTCAAGGCCAACCTGGGTTACACAGCAAGACTGTCTCAAAAAATCAAAAACAAACACCCTCATTGTAAACTCAATATAAAATTTTTACTTATCAATTGTACCTCAATAAAACTGAAACAAACAAGCAAACACATGGCACTGGCGTCCTGATCACGATGGCTTGAGTGTCACCATGGTAGAATGAGTGTGGCAGCTCCAGACCCTGCATGCTCCTATCAGCCCAAGCCCAACTCTGTCTGTGTTTTTGTTCTGCACCCCAGGACCCTCCCTCTGCAGGACTGTTTCACAGCCCACCTACAATCATTCTGACCGGGGATGCCGGTTCACCAGAAGGAGAAACGGACAAAAAACTGGCCAACAGGTACATATCTGCCTGATCCTTGTGCTATGACATGCAGTGGAGATCAAAGAGTGATATTTTTTAAAATAAATTTGTTCTTTGTATCACTATTGACAAAAATGCTATCAAGCATTTTTTTCTCCTGGATTCTGTCCTTTGCACTCGGCTAGATTTTAAGAAAAGCACAAACCATGTGGTGGGGTGGGGGGATTCCCATAGTAGCTGCCCAGATATTTGCAGACAAACCTGAAAGATGTGAATCTTTGATGTAGAATCCTGCCCTGGCCAAAGTGGTCCCATGTGGAAGAAGGTCTCTTGGGAGAGACTGGCTCACACGCCCAGGGAAGTCACTGACCTGGTTTTTTGCAGCACCAGCCCATGCATTGATCCAGCTGGAATGAGAATGTCTAGGTAGAGTTTTCAAAAATTTAGAAGGAAAATCTCATCCACACCTAGTAAGCAAAGATTTACTTCAGTTGTTACCCAGGGAAGCAGCAGGATGACAGACTAGATCCAAAGGAGGAAATGAGAAATTGATATACACATGGAGTCAGTGGGGAGGAAAAGAATTTTGAGTCAAATTTCTAAGTCAGATATAAAATAGCTTAATGTTCTGCAGGGCGACGAAGCCATATTTTTATCTTTTCTCCCAAACAGAAATCCTGTGTATCTCTACCAGACCACAATTATTTACATTTTGTGAGGTTTCTGTACCTAATAAACAGTAAATACTGTAGTAAATCAGTCACATCCCTTGGAGCAATGGTTGGAAAACTTGAATATGCCTCACAATGAAGGGACACTCGTTGAATGACAGCTGCCTGGGCCACTTCCAGGGTTTCCGATCCTTTGGGGTGGGGCCTGAGACTTTGTGCTTCTGACAAGTCCCTAAGGTGAGCCTCAGAGGACTCCTGGTCACTCTAGAATGACACTGAAAGACTGTACAGGTCTCTTTAGGCCCATCTCAGTTGTTATCCTGACAAGATGACTCTGTCTTTCAGAGCTCCCAGTCCCCAGCGGAGGCCTTCTCACCGACACTTGAAGGTTTCCACAGCTCCACTGACTTCTGTGGGTAAGAGCTAGGTCAACTTGAAAGTGTGTTTGAGCAGGAAGAATGAGGTCTGGCATCTTGACCTGACTTGGCTCCCTTCTCCCCTCCCACTCCTCAAGGCAGCCCACCTCAATTACCCCCAAAAGGGCAGAGTAGATCCACCCCTTAGTGTTTGGGTCCAGAAGAAATATGAGGCCTAACTTTAATGCTTGTGCTGAAAAGACAAAACCAGGACACAAAGTGCAAGATGAGGAAATCAAAGAGAGTCAGAACAGCTGGGCGTACTGGGACTAAAGGGACAGCGTTCTCCAGACCTGCCAGCAAGGCCCACATCCAGGCGGCTGTGTGTGCTGAGTGCAAAGCTGTCTGCCTGGCCACCTGCTTGTTCCCCACACAGTTTCTCACAGCCTTCCCTGGGCCACTGGAGCAGAGGTATGACATGGACTTCGTCCCTGACTTCATGTTGGTCACAGTCTATGAGGAGACTGAACAGTGAATAAGCAAGACACTGTGTTATAAGGCTCTTCACAGAAGAGTTAGGGAAACCACAGCAAGAAAGGAACCAGTTCTCCCCAGAAAGGATAAATGCTGGGTACATTCCAGAGCAATGGTGCTTGAGCTTCCCCTTACAGAGTTGGGCAGGTAGACAAGAAGGAGGAAAGGCATCGGCTAGAAGAAGAGACATGGTGGGAAGCAAGAGCGGTGCAGAGCCCTGTGTTAGGAAACAAATGCTCTTCTACCAGTCAGGTCTTTTTGAAATGACAGAAGCCCAATTCACATTAGCTTACACCAAAATAACAATGATAATAATAATAATGAAGGTTTGTGCTGGATCCAAATGTTCAAGTTGGGTGATTTTAGTCACCATCTCTCAAGCCTCCTTTCTTGTGTGTTAGCTTTCCTCCTAGGCTGGCCCTTCCTCCATGGTGACAAAATGTCCACTAGCACCTCCACACTTTCATCCCATCAATGGAGAATTCTTCCCCGGGCACCCCACACAGTTCCCATGACTGGTTCTCATTGACCTCCCGTGGCCATCCCTGAGCCAATCCCTGTGGCCGACTGGATTGCCTTCATTGATTGGCCACAGCTGGTACACATTCCCAGGCTTACTCTTGGCACTCAGGGTGGGACAGTGGTGGGGAAGGTCAGCTCCTCCTAACTAATGGAATGACGAATCAGAGGGATTCACCCAATGAAAATGAAGAACTCATACCAGAAGTGAGAAGAGAGGCTGGGGAGGCAGAATAGGAGCTGGAGGGAGGGGCCTCGAACGAGTACGTGGGACTAGCAAAAGTGGCAGGCCCAGTTTGGATGTTACCTTGACGACCATGAGGAGTCCCCAGGAGATGAGATGCTAGGACGGTCACACTAACAGGCAGTGGAGGATGGGACCTGGGGAATGGCGTGAAGGCAGGGACCTATTATGTAGCTGATATTATTGTCCAGGGAAGAGCTAATGAGCACGAATACAGATGAGGGCAGTCCTAGTGATATTTATAGGTAAATGCCAGGACTGGATCAGGTGGCTGGACATGGGGGTTGAGGAAGAAGGAGGCACCTGGAGTGACCTCCATGTCTGTGAGCAGCTGGTAAGAGGTGATGTCATTCACCCAGCTCATCCAGAGGGGCTGCTGAGAAGTGGCAATTTAGGGGAAGAATGGGGTTGCAGAGGTGGCCATGGGAGTGTGTCAGGGGCCCAGGATCTTTGGACTTGACCCACACCTTCATCCCACTAGCTTGTTAAAGAAATGGAGACTGGAAGTAGGAACATATCAGAGGAGCAGATGTGCTCCTCTCAATTTGGAGGTGGGTCTCCTGCTGGTTTTCCTTTAACAGCAGAGTTTAGGGAAGTTCTGGGAACCCCAGGTGGCCTTGTGACCATGGGTTACAGAAACTATAAGCTATAAGTCATTGGGGCCAGGCCTGCTAAGGAAGCTATGTCTGTCCCCAGGCCACTCCCTCCATGCATGGGCACCTGGCAGGGTCAGCTCCAGGCAGCATCCCAGAGCTGAGCTGTGCGTGCCAGAGCCTCTCAGTGCAGGGTCAAGGTTGCAGTGGCTCTCACTCCGACCTCACTCTCCTTGTGCAGACCCTGCGGGGCATGTCATCGACCTGGTAAATGATCAGCTGCCGGACATCAGCATCTCCGAGGAAGACAAGAAGAAAAACCTGGCCCTGCTGGAAGAAGCCAAGTCGGTGAGTGAGAGATTCCTGACGCGCCGTGGGAGAAAGTCCAGGAGCAGCCCCGGAGACTCCCCGTCAGGTAGGGCAGGTGCAAGTGGCTGCCCTGGGCCCCTCCAAGGTGGGGCTGGAGGGAAGGAAGGGAAGGACCAGGCCCCAGCTGTAGTGGGAGCTTTGCTTCTGAGAAGGTATCTTGGGGGGAATTTCTGGGTTGAGGGAAAGCGTTTCCTCAGCCCTGCTGCTACTCCTATGTGAGAGCCCCTCTTCTTCCTGGGCAGATTTGAGGCACGGGAGCGTTTGAAATCAAGGCCACACTGGAATGTTTATGAAGTGCAGCCTTCACAGGCCTTACCTGCCAAGCAATGCCAGGTCACAGTTTCTGGAATGTGTTCCGAAGTCAGGTCAGCAGGCTAAGGAGCGTGACCTCCGCCTCATCCCCTGCTCTGTCCACCCCCCCCCCAAATAACCCAAGAGCCCCCTCTTTGGCTGGCAGTAAGGAAGGTTGGGCTATAATAGGAATCATAAAGCAGTTCAGAAAAGGCCCCTGACCCCACCAAAGCAGGACTAGTTCCCAGGGATGAGAAATACCAGAAAGGATGATTTCGTCCTGATCCTTCACAGATGCCAGTCATTTGTGGCTGCCTCCATAGTTGCCTCCCCGAACCTCAGCCCAGTAGCTTCTCCTGTGCCCTCTAGGAGCAGCCTGTTCACCGTTCCCCACCCCCCCGACCCCCTGCCAGGTGAAGTCCAGCATCAAGACCCTCCCTTTTCGGGGCAGCTCAGCCTGGCCTGACCAGGATGCGTCCAGAGACCTTCTCCCTCGCCCTCTGCAGCCTTTCCATTCAGGACTCCCGCTGAGCCTCCTCCGGGGGGCTCCCAGCTGGGCCTGGCTGGGCCTCCTCAGAGGAGGCAGATATATGTCTGTTGGGGCTGGTGTGGGGAGGCAGCAAGAGGTTGGTAGGGATGAGGACAGAGACAAGGTTATGGAAAGGGAGCTGTGATGGGCTCTCTGTCCCCAGAGAGTACTCAGAGAGAAGCCACCAAGGAGCTTATTTGGGCCACTGTGCATTTTGATGTCTTCCCATTCCCTGGCTGTGTCCAGAGCCACACCCTCAGGTCTGCAGGGGCAGGTCTGTGGGGGCAGGAGTAATGTATCAGGCAAGCTTAGGCTCTAGCTGGGCAACCTGGGTTCAAATCCCAGTACTGACACTTCCTGCCCATGTAACTTTGAGGTTCCCATGCCCTAATTTCCCCATATGGTTTCTGTGGGGATTCAATGAGGGCCACCACAGAACCTGGCTGGCAGGTAGAAGGCTTGTAGCAAACACTGATGTTTCTGGCTCCCAGGCCTAAGGTTGCTAAAGAGAAGACATTCTGGAAGGGACAAGTTTTTGCAAAGGGGACAGCTGAGGGTCTGGGGTGCTGGCATCACTTCTTAGTGTCTGGATCATTCCAGGTTTAGGTGCATGCAGCAGCCTGCAGTCCCCTCTGCCAGGAGCGCCACCACAGGTAATGGTCCCTTGCCATTTCTATGCCAAGGGTCTCTCCCCTTGCCCATAACTCCAGGAAGACTCTGTGTGACACCGGAGCGAGGTGCTGGGTGGAGGGTGTTTACACCCATGTGTAAACTAGTGGGTACTAGTTTACCCACTAGTACCATGCTAGTACTCCTGGGAGGCATTTTAGGAGGGAGCAGCCATCTTCCCATGGCAGGCTGATATGTTTCCTTCCTCTACAGAAGGGAGATGAGGCCGACGTCTCTTCACCTCACCTTGGCGATCCTGTGAGTTTGAGCTTTGTCTAATTTGAATGATTTGCATGTGGGGTACCCAGTTTCCCAGAAGCTTAGGATACCCAGGGCAGCTGAGTTAGGGTCAAAGCCACACTGTATTCCACTCTCCTCCTCAGCTCCTACCCCTTGGGTGGGTCTCTTTGAATTGCCAGTTCCTGTGTCCCCTCTGTGTTACAGATCCCAGGCTTGTTTGTGGGTCCTCTTTGCTAGCACAGATCTGACTGAGAAGCCATTCCTTTCTACGTGGTCCACATTCCAAACAACCCTTCCCCCCCGCCCCCCCCCGACACAAACACACTCATACACAAATGGGCCCCATGGCAGCATCTGCATCTCCTTCTTATTCAGCTTCCAGGGTCTCAAATCTACCTTGTCTCTTTCAGAATGTCCCCAAAGGGCTAGCTGACCGGAAGCAGAATGACCAGAGGAAAATGTCTCAGGGCAAGCTGGCTCCTTGCTCTCCCATGGTTGAGAAGTCCAAAGAGCTTGCAATAGAACAAAAGGAAAACTTCGATCCCCTCCAACACTCCGAGACCTCACCCAAGGGCCCAGCTTCTGGTGCAATCTGCAGTGGGAAAATGGCCCTGAACAGCCCCCAGCCTGGCCCTGCTGACAGCGAGCTGGGGAGGCCACTCCTGAAGACAGCCAAGGAAGGCAACCCTCTGCCAAGAAGTCCAGCCCAGGGCTCAGGAGGGGTGGCTCCTCCCTCCCAGGGAAAAGGCTCAGCTGAAGAGCCCCTGGGCTCCAAGGTCAGCTCCAAAGCTGAGCTCCGGCCCCCTGTGTCTCGGCCCCCCCTGATACGGGGTGTCTCCTGGGACAGCAGCCCTGAAGAACCTGGCCCCCGGCTGCAGAAAGTGCTTGCCAAGCTGCCACAGGCAGAGGACGAGAAGCGGTTTCCAGGCAAAGCCATCAGCAAGCTGGCCAAGGCTCCTGGACTCAAAGATTTCCAGATCCAAGTGCAGCCAGTGCGCATGCAAAAACTGACCAAGCTCCGTGAGGTGGGTTCCTGCGGCCAGCTGGGGAGGGTCTCCCTGGGCTGCAGGCCTCTGGACTGATGCCAGGCTTTGGGGCAGAACAGCCCTGGTCTGGACTTGAACCTCACAGGGCCCAAAACTTCCCAACCCTGAGAAGTCAGGCCCACTCATGTGAATTCTCTACCGTTTTTACTCCTGTTACTAGGCAGAGGTCAGTTGTGAGATGTAGCCACATTTCACACAAAGCCACACTTCAGGGAAGGTGGATGTGGGGAGGGAGACATGGGCCCTCAATTTGGGTCCTCCAGTTGGAGCTAGTGGCTCATAAACAGGACCCCCTGGTGGAATGCGTGAACATGCCTAGGACTGGGCGAGGCCAGGATAAAGTAGGTTTTCCTTTTGTAATGGTGCCCAGCTTTCTGTCCTGTTGCTTGTTAACCAAGGGCCACAGATCTAGGTATAGCTCTGACAATGGCCATGAGGGGCTGTCACTCCGTCCATGATGAATTCCTTCCAACACCCATAGTGTCCCTCAACTTCCACCGGCCACCAACCTGGGCCCAGTGGTCACTCATAGAGCTGTCATGCTATAAAGGGGAGACTCGGGATGTCCAAAGATGTAGGGGAACACCAGATTGTGAAGAACAGAAGAGATAATTGGATGAAGTCCTGGTCCAGTCCTGTCTTCCCTGGAAGGCCAACCTAAGCCTAAGCCAAGCCAAGGCGATTGGGGTTCCATAGAGGGAGCTTGGCTCCCCTGCAGAGAGGAGTGTGGGGCAGGAAAGGAAACAAGGACCCTGATACCATTGCAGCACAAGCGAGGGCACTTCTGTGCTAGTGGGGACACATTCCAGCACTGGCACTGTCCAATTCAGAAATCTCCCATGCTGTTCTAGGTGGAGGCTCAGGGAGAGAGCTGGGGCCCTGCTGCTGATGTGAATGCTTTACACAGACATGTCCCCGTCCTCCCCTCCCCCACATTCCCTGGCCAGAAAGCCCTAAGTCACTAGTGGATCAGAACAGGGCCTGGAGGAGCGACCCATGAAGGGCCCCATTCCCAAATCTCTGAAGGAAGGTGGAGCCAAATGGAATGGACAAGACTGCCAAGGATTTGCCTTCATGGACCTCAAAGGCCTTGGTGACAAGCCAACACCCCCTGCCACACTCTGCAGGTTTCTCTCGCCCAGAAAAAAGTTAGACAGCCAAGAGGCCCTGTAATACTAACCTCTACCCTGGCAGCTGAGCACACGTGGGCCTCTGGCTTGGTATACAGGCAAAGGGCCTGGCCTGTGACTTCCATTTGGATCATGAGCACCCTCTGCTGGCCCCCTTCTGTCCTTCTTCACCCAGGGGTCAACCACTCAAGGGTCTTTTGCCGCCTAGGATGCCGAAAATCTATTGATGGCACAAATGAAAGAGGCAAGAAATCCTCCCAGGCATTTCCACTTAAGGACCCGGTTCTGATGCTAATTGACTTAGAGCAGGTGTGAACCTACCTGTGCCACCTACCTGTGGTCAGCATCCCAAATCTCCCCAGCTCTGCCTGCTGAAGCCCCAAGGCAGCCAGGAGGCTGCAGGTAGTCACAAGGTCACCAAAGATTGTTTCCAGGAGCAGCCTCAGGGGGCCCTTAGCTCTCCTGTTTGTCCTCCAGCCTTCTACAAACCCCAGCCACAGTGTGACTGAGTTGTTCATTTACCCTGAGGCCCACGGACTTTATAAGCAAGCCATGCCCAAACCATGTGGTGCCAATGGCTTCTTTATAAGCTGGGAGGGGAACTGGTGTTCCTCAGGCCTCACCATGCCATGCCTGCCCACCCACTTTTGCCATTGTCCCTGTGATTCCCAGCTAAGGCTGAGTGGTTACAGAACCACCGAGGGGCCCAGAGAAGAATGAAGTCTGATGTCATCCTCTGACACGTGTCTCTCTCCTCTCACAAAGGAGCACATCCTGATGAGGAATCAGAATCTGGTGGGGCTCAAGCTTCCTGAACTGAGTGAGGCAGCTGAGCAAGAGAAAGGTAGGTGGACGGGGACTGTGTGCACAGGTCAAGGGTGGTAAGCCGGTGAGTACTAGACTTCCTGCTAGCAGACTGGACATGGAGCAGGTACTCAGTTACTATTTGCAGATGAGTGAAGGGGGAAGCTGGTGTTTCCTGCCCAGGCAGAGCACCCCCCAAGCCTTTCTCCTTCCACCAGCCTCCCCTGAGCCCTGTTAGCAACAGTGAATCTGGAAGGTGCCCCCAGCCTGAACCTCTGACACTGCCTTTCCCCTCACACCCAGGAAGCCACCCAAATGGGCCAGTTCCTCTTTTCAAGGCACCAGACCCACCTCTTCCTAATCTGCTGTCACTACAAAGTCCATAGGCCAGCTCCACCCTGCAGGGTGACTGCACATCCCTTCCTCCAAGCCTCTTGTTCTCTGCTTCACCACCCATCCCCACCACAATCATCCAAAAATACAGGTAGAGTCCTGGCCCGCCTGGATCTGACTCATGGATCCAGCCTGGCTCTTGGCAACCCCCACACCGTCCTCAGCATACACCCACAAAGCCCCACTGCAAGTCACAACTGTCCAGTTTGAGTCCTGGCTCTGCCATGTGGTCTGGGCAGGCTACTTGACCCTTCTGTGCCTGATCTCTCCCCCGACCACACATGTGAAATGGAGCTAAGAGTTGTCTGAAAGGTTATCAGGAGCCAGGCATGGTGAGGCACATCTATAATCTCAGCACTCAGGAGCTTGAGGCAGAAGGACCTTGAGTTCCAGGCCAACCTGGGCTACATAGTTTTTTAAGTCAGGACTTGGGAAGAGGAGAGGAATGGAGGGGAGGGGAGGTTGTAAGGGAGATTAAATGAATTAAATAAACTATATTTGCTATGTACCTAGAATAGTACCTGGTGCTTAGTGTCAGCCATTATTATCGTGTGTGTGCGCGTGTGTGTGTGTGTACACACACGTGCATGCTTGTAGCCCCACTGCTAAGTGCACACAGCAGTGGGGGCACGAGGAGGCCCCGAATAAGTATTTATTGAAGAAGTGAATGCATGAAACTGTGTGTGACATGGCAGGGAGCCGCTGAGACATGTACATAAAAGCAATCTGTGACCGTAAGCATGGTAAGGGACGAGGGCGCATTCAGAGGGATGGGATCCCAGCAGGCCAGGCTCTTTGTGCTTCCCTTTCCCCAGGCCTCCTCCCAGAGGCACTCACCCTCTTGCCTCTGTGCCTTTGTCCTTGTCTCCCTCCTGACCTGTGGTCACTCTTCTCCTCTGAGTCCTCACACCTGTCCCTATAACAGAGGGTAAGTCCCACCAGCTCTGAAATCCTTTCCTTCCCAATGTCTTTCCTAGTTCATTAGCTTTATCCTAACCCTCCCCCCCACTTTGGTTTTAATTTTTTACTGTGGTAAAATTATGTAACATAAAATTTCTATTTTAGCCATTTTAAGCAGAGTTCAGTTAGTAAGTGCATCCTCATTGTGCATCTGTCACCACCATCCACCTTCACAACTTTTACATCTCTGAAACAGTAGCTGCCCATCATCCCACCCCCGGCTGCTGGCCACTACCTTTCTTTCTGTCTCTGTAGATTGGAGTTCTCTGGGTCCCTCACAGAAATGGATTCATACACGATTTATACACTCCTTTAAAGGTAACCACAATAACTAAGTTATCATTGGCAGTTCATTCCAGTGGACTGCGAGGCAGGATTGCTCCTACAGTGGAGGAAAAGGGCTCTCACTCCACTTTGATTTTGCCATCACAGGAGCAGTTCTGGGGCACGGTTTTTGTTTTGTTTTGTTGGTGGGACAGGGTTTGAACTCAGGGCTTCACACTTACAAAGCAGGTACTCCACCACTTCAGCTATACCTCCAATCCATTTGCTCTGCTTATTTTGGAGATGGTGGGGGTGCCTGGGGCTGGCTTTGAGCCATGATCTTCCAATCTCAGCCTCCTGAGTAGCTTGGATTATAGACGTGAGCCACCAGTACCAGCCTGGAGCATTTTTTTAGCTGTATGGCGCTTCCAACAAATTAACAGAGACGAGGTCAGTAGGTACGGGGGCACCTTCTGGAACCTTCTTTCTGTCTTCCCCCATGGTGCTGAGGCACCCGGGTGGGCCCAAGGCCTCACAGAACACCTTTGAAAAGCCCCACACCTACCACGCTGTCTATGCTTGGTGTTCAGGGGGAAGTCTGCTTACAGATTGTTTTGGGGGTGTCGCCAAAATGATTGGAAAACCCCATCTGAAATACAGTGATTAACATAAACAAAAAGGTTCCCAGAAGTAAAATTTCCAACATGTTTTGTTAAAGACTAGTTTTTTTTTTTAAATTAACTACCTTTAAAGGAATCTTTTCAGATGTTCACTTCTCTACTTTTAATTTTTAAAATTTGTTTATTAAAGGAGATTTAAAACACTAGGAAAAACTGATCTTAAAATTTCATAGACAACCCCATAAATTCTGAAAAAGTAACAATTTTTATTCCCATTATTTTCCCATATTCGTAATTTTCCATAAGTTGATTTGATGATATAGGCATAACTTTACCTTTCAATTTTTCTCACCTAAGTTATTCCATAACTAATTCCAGGGCGCCTATTTCCTTTTGTATTGGTGCATCTGTTTGTTGGGTACTTCAGATGTTTACAGTTGCTTTAACTGTGACTAACAACTCTACTACAAACAATTTGGTACTTGGAGTTTTTTCTTTCTTCCTTTAAGTTGCTCCTTTGCAGTAAATGCTAAGACTTAAGATTCTGCGGATCAAAGTGTACAAACACTTACTTTTACCAAATTTCCTCCAGTGTTTATGTGCCACCAATATTTGTGTAGGGTTTTCTTCTAAGCATGACTAGTTCTGGTTGGGGCTTGAGCTCAGGGCCTCGTGCTTGATAGACGGGTGTTCTCCCCCTTGAGCACGCCTCCAGCCCTTTTCTGCTTTAGTTATTTTTCAGGTAGAGGCTCAGGTTTTTGCCCAGGCCAGCCTCCAATCCTCTGACTTACATCCTCTTGCATGCTGGGATCACAAGTAAGTACTACCACGCCTAGCTTATTGGTTGAAATGGGATCTTGCTAACTTCTTGCCTGGGCTGTCCTGGAACTGAGATCCTCCCCATCTCTGCCTCCTGAGTAGCTGGAATTACAAGAGTGAGCACTGTGCTCAGCTCTTGGTTTTGTTTTGCTTTTGGTCTGTATGGCCACAATGTTGTATAGTAAAAACCAGATAATCAATAATAACAACAACATTACGGCTGGGAGTGGTGGTTCACTCCTGTAATCCCAGCACTTGGTAGGCTGAGACTGGAGGATGGAGAGTTTGAAGCCAGCGTGGGCTATAGGGTGAGACCCTGTCCCAAAAGCAAAAAAAAAAAACCCTGACACAATTATGATGTATTACTAACGTGAAATGCTACTTCATTATTATTTCAATTAATTTCCTGGCAAATTCAAACTTAAAAATTTTAAATATTTATCTTTGTGTTCCTTTGCCCATGGATCCATTTGAGTCCTAGATTTTGTTAGTAATCAATGTAAACTCTATGCATGGCAGATATTAACCCTTCATTGCTGTATTTTCTCAACATTTTTTATTCCAGCATTTTTTGCTCTTTAAGGAGTGTTATTTTAGAGAAATTGTAAATTGTTTATATAATCATTTTGCCTATCTCTTTCTTTGAGATGTCTTCCATTGGCTCAATAATTACAAAAACATTACTTCTCCCTCTGTGGGAAAATAGATTTGTTCTCTACTAACTAGTTCATCTATTATTTGATAATGCCACTGAACTGCATTTTAAGCTAGAATTATTTTAAGACTTTGATCGCATTACTGCAATGATGTTTTAATAGTGTTTGTATTTGTTTTGTGCTTAGACAGGCACATACATTGCATTCTTTTTATATATACGAAAGGCTAGTAATGGGCCCCCATTCTGCTTTAGTCTTCTCAATACCACACCATTTCAAGCACTGCTTTATGATAATATATCCTACTGTGCAGGAGGTTCACAGTATAAGGCCAGCTCAGGCAAAATAACTAATGTAGAAAAGGGCTGAGGGCATGGCTCAACTGGTAGAGCGCCTGCCTAGCAAGGGTGAGGTCCTGAATACCACCAAAAAAAAGGTCAGCAGATTGGAGTTTGTGTTCCAACCTAGAAACAAACAAATGGATGTTTAAATGTATGCAAGCTCCGGAAACTCAATTCACATTTGACATCTATACCATCTGACCAACATTTTAATTGTGGCTGCTGTAACCCATGCACTAGATTCAGAAAGAGCTGCCTGAATTTTTTCCCATTTTTTTTAAGGATGTATTTGTCGAACACGGGGAATTCATTGTGACAATTCTGAATAGGCTTATACTGTACATTGGTTAGGTCGCCCCATCGTCTCTCCCCCTCAACAGCCCCCCCAGCCCACTTAAAGCAGTTGCAAGAGGTTTCTTTGTTCCATTTTGTATATGTATATGAAGTCCATCACCCATACACCCTCACCTTCATCTCCTGCACTCACCCCCCACACTAGTACCCACACACACAGTACCTATTTTACAGTCTTGTCTTTCATTATTAATTCCAAAGTCGATGTTCAAAGGGGTTTCTCAGTGTATCCCCGCTGTGAGAATACTATACTTTGGTCCATTCAACCCCTTCCATTGCTTCCTTTCTATTACTCCCATCCCCCATTTTCCACAGTTTTCAGTACACATCCTTATATCATCTACCTTCACATCTTATGGGATGCAGAATTACTGATGCTCTATCGTTCTCTTTTCCTCTCCCTCCTTCCCCGAGTTCCACTGTTACAAACGTTCTACGTATGAGTTTCCATATGATCATGCTTGTTTTTGTGTATATGTTTATCTTTGGATCTATGTTCTATGTATGAGAGAAAACATGCAGCTTTTGTCTTTCTGAACCTGACTTTCTTTACTTAAAATGATGTCCTCCAATTGCATTCATTTACTTTCAAATCACATAGTGTCATTCTTCCTTATGGCTGAGAAAATTCCA